CTCTCTCTCTCTCACACACACACACACACACACACACACACACACACACACACACACACAGAGATTAGAGACTGACTGTGGCTTGCGTGGACAAGTGCGCCTCGTCCGTTCCACTCCTCGTAAATGCAACACATTTCATATAGTACCTCCTCTATACAATTCCTTTCACGATACTCAACTCCCTAATCTTACAGTAGCTTCCCTTCTCTACAAATCGCCATCACTCACTCCCCCCCCTTTGCTTCCTCCTTCCCATATTACTCCTTTCGACAACGGCAACGTGGTCGTACAATGTGAGGCCTCGAACCTGCGACTAATCCCCACAGCTTGAATTGCGGCGCGTGATCTGCGAATCACACGGCCGGAATTCGGGTGGGGCAGGTCATACTACTCTCAATCCCCGAATTGCAATTTCGTAACATCGAGGGGTTTAATTAGCAATTAGCAGCAACCACCCGGGTCCACCCCAACCATCTCGCCACTGTGCATCATCCCTGGGAAGGTCCAACTACAGTACTGTTGCTTTCGGGGCTAACCCGCCGCACACCACAGACTGAGTTCTGTCCAGGGTGTTGAATGTGTCCTCAAGTTAGCCAGTATCCCTCACAATGAGCTACACGAATAGCCGGATAGCCAGCTCCGCCGGGCATAGGGAGACATAAATAGCCAGGCAGTTAGCCAGCTATCCATCCGTTTCCCTGCCTGGCTACAGCCGGCTAGCCAGCCGGTCAGCCAGCCGGTTAGCCAGCCAGTTAGCCAGCCGGTTAGTCAGCCGGATAGCCAACCAGTTAGCCAGCTATCCATCCGTTTCCTTGCTTGGCTACATCCCTGCCTGGCTACTCACAAGCTCCTGAGAGGCGCACGCACAACTGTCAATCAAACAAAGATGAAGACCGACCCCGTCCACCGACGTACGGCTGACGTGGCGCTGACGTGGCCGCAGCACTTGCTGTGTCCACTTCATAATCCTAATCCTCATCAACATTGTTCGACGCTTGCGGTAGTACCGGTGTCTCCATTGCGCGCCGAGCCGGGTGAGTACATCTACTGGCGTCTCCTCCGCTGACGAGGCAAGACTCGGGTTTGTGCGTGCGCGTATGCACTGGTGTCTCCACTACTCCGCGCCGAGCCCAAATATAGATCCCACCATTCCCGCCATTCCGCTCGGCTGCGCTAGAGCTTCGAGCAGAGGGGTGCCAGGCTGCCAGCCACCCGCTCCCGGACCGGCTGTTCTCCTCGACACCCCCACCCCCCTCCCTCCCGGGGCTAAGTTATCCCCCCCCACTGCCTGCGGACGGATCTGGATGTATTCGAAGTTCACCAAGTTCGAACCTCAGTTCTTCTGAGTAGTACGAGAAACACCCTCGCCTACTCAGGTTCCCCCCCCCTTCTCCTCCCCCCCTCTCCTCCCCGGTCTTTCTTCTGAGTACCAACCATCCGAGCCTCACTCAGCCTGCCTCGGCCCTCAGGTTATACACTTCGCCTCACTTCACTCTTTGGCAAAACGATGAGCCTAAGTTGTAAGCTCCCCCCCCCGACGTACACCTTAACCTGCATACGAACCACCGTTACGGTAGCACTACTATAGCTTCGTCTGCGAGTTACAGTGCCTGTGTGCTTCCCTTAGGAAGACTCAGATACAGGAGCAGCGAGGTCGGCAGCTTCGGCAGGCGCTTCTGCCTCGAGGTCGGCAGCTTCGGGCTCAGAAGAGGATGGGGTTGCTGATACTGGTTCAGGAGCTGCCTCTGGGAAATCCTCTGGAAGATTCAACCCCAGTGCTCTGGCCCTCTTCACCTCCGACCTGCCAGAACCTTTGTCCAGCCGCTCGACTGGAGCCGTCGAGGTCGGTTCCACCGTAGGTGGTGGCTTGCTCGTAGCCACGAAGAGAAGCGCGCCGCACACGCCCAGAAGCGCTAGAAGGCCTCCGATGCCAGCGGAGAGAGTTGTGCTGCTCATGGGTTGGTCGGACACGTAGACAGTCGGCTCCACTGAGTAGATGTTGGTCTGACCAGCTGTGTCCTTTTCAACGTAGCCTGTCCAGACTCGGGCACTGGGAGCGGGAGGAGGAGGAGGAAGAGAGGAGGAGGAGGAGGCAGCTGCTGACGGCTTCGACATGGGCGGAAAGGTACCCGTGACTTTCGTCTTCTCTTGGGCTTCCCAGGACAGGCTCACCTTACCTACCTCCTTCTCAGGAGCACAGCTGGCATCGTTGCACTCCTCCTCGCCGCCATCGCCGCCCGAGGTCGACGTTGCAGCGGCTTCAACCTCCGCCGCCTCCACGTTGTCCGTCGTCGCTTTCACTGGAATCATCATCGACGATGAAGACGGCCATCGCCTCTGAGTAAGAGGTCTTCTGCTGTCAATCGTGCCTGGGACGGTCAGCTGTACTGCGAAGCCATTGGCAGTCGATTTGGAACGAAAGGCCGACACGTGGCGAGCGGCGGACAAAGACCCCTGTAGCGGCTGTTGCTGCTGCTGATTCTGACAAGCGTTCAGCTTGGCGCAAAAGACCGAGGGAGAGAGACAATCGCCCTTAGCAGTAGCAGTCGCCATCGCTGTTGCGGACGAGGACGACGACGCCGTCACACTCTGCTGTGCGACAGCGCGCACGGAACCGGATCCAGCAACGCAAGATGCCGCCATGCTCATCACGTTGCTCTCTCTCTCTCTCTCTCTCTCTCTCTCTCTCTCTCTCTCTCTCTCTCTCTCTCTCTCTCTCTCTCTCTCTCTCTNCTCTCTCTCTCTCTCTCTCTCTCTCTCTCTCTCTCTCTCTCTCTCTCTGTGTGTGTGTGTGTGTGTGTGTGTGTGTGTGTGTGTGTGTGTGTGATAGTCAGACGTTACTAAAGCGATGCGATTTGCACTCGTCGGTTCGACGAGAAAGAAGAAGCAGTGAAGCACCAAAAGAGGTGCTTGAGAGGGGGGTAGGGTAAGGAGAGAGGGGGGAAGAAAGAGGAGAAGGTAGGTACGGGGGTGTCGGCTTGGGGGGGGTAGGTACTAGGTGGAAGTCTGAACTTCTGGTGTGAGTGTGCTGACGGAAGACAGCGCGGACGATGACGACAACAATGTTGAGAGGAGGAGAGCGAGCGTAGGGAATCTTCCGCCCGCTCGTCCGTCCGTCTCACAATCTCTCTCCCTTCCCGCCGGTCCTCCCTTTGAGCTACTACTGTGACAGTCGGAGAGGGGGCTTCACCTTCCCCTCCCTACCGCTCAATTCCTCCTCCACGATATCCCGACGTCCTCCTCCCACCGGCTGCCACGATGCCCATTCCGAGTCGACCAAAGCGCCGAGGAAGTGCGGGTTACACTTGACATGCAGAATCTAAATGTGTGCTCCCAGATTTTCTGCCAGCCGCGTCAGGCGCGATGAAAAGAACCATTCGGAAAGAAATCAACGCTATATCCATTCGGAAAGAAATCAACGATTATTGTCCTTGGGGACATCCGTTAAAATTGGAACGATACAGAGAGTTTTCGTTTTTTCTTTTAAATTTATTTATTTATTTATTTATTTTTTCAATCTAACTGAGGCTTTTTTCCCCCCTTTTTTGTTGTTCTTTTTCGTGATTGGTCGCCAATTTCTTCGACTTCTCTACTCAAAATTTTTGGATTCATTTTGAAGATTGAGAACATTCTCAATTGAATATTAAAAACTTTTCGCCTCTTTTTTTTTTTTTTTTTTTTTTTTTTTGATACAGAGAGCTTAGCATATGCCCCCAGCTGCGCATGGATGACACGCATAAATCGAGAAATGGTCCATATTTCTGAATGATTCTTTTCTTTTGCCTACTCTCGCATTCTCTACCGCCGCTTCAGGCCACAGGGCCTCGCTCCACCACTCTCGAAATGTGCAAAACGAGAGTGAATCTTCCCCTAGAACAAGGAAAGATACATCGCTATGATTTTTGTCTTTTGTGCATTTCCGGAGTAGTGGAGCGACGCCCATAGTCCCATAGTCACACTGGGACTATGGGCGTCGTCACACTACTCACGGAACGGAAAAGAAATGCCAGTGGATCTTCGTACAGGGGCAAAGTCCCACTGGCAGGGTTGAGTTTCCTCAACCCCTGAATCTGGACGTGTTTGTGGAGATGTGGAGATGTGCAGAAATCGCGTTGAGTTTCCCAAACCGCACATCGCCTCAAACACGTCCAGATTCAGGCGTTGAGCAAAGTCAAAGCTGGCCAGAAAAAGTACGTACCTTGCATACGAATACAACGTACGGGGTACATTGTATTCGAATACAATGTGTTATTCGACTAGAACGTACGTTATGTACGTTATGTAAAACTCGTTATATATGTGTTTGTGTATATAACGAGTTTTAGGGCACAGCTTTTCAGAAGCCTTTAGTACCGCCATTTTTTTTATTTTTATTTTTTTGTAATCTCGAATTTGGTTGGGAAGTTTACCAAGACACTCAGGCAAAAGTTGTTTGCATTGTCCATCGGCGGGGCCGTGGTCCCATTTGCAAAGAGCATCGGATTGAATGCCTGAATCTGGACGTGTTTGAGGACAGGAGCAGGAAATCGAGATAGAACTGCTTTTCTGCATCTCTGCACAAAACATAGCCAGATTCAGGATTTCTATCCTATCCCCTTCGCTAGTGGGACCATGCTTCGGGACATCCGTTAAAAGGATTGGAACGATACAGAGAGAGAAGATTAGTATGGCCCCTGGGGCCAAGTCCCACTAGCAGCGTTGAGCTACCTCAACGCCTGAATGTGGACGCTTTTGCGGAGATGTGCAGAAATGGTGTTGAGTTTCCTCAACTGCACGTGTCCACAAACACGTCCAGATTCAGGCGTTGAGGTAGCTCAACGCTGCTAGTGGGACTTGGCCCCTGCGCAAGGATGACTCCTCGTGTAAGTATGCCCTCAGACGGACGTGTGATAGGAAAAATAAATAAATTAACGCTATATATCGTCACAAATAGAACTGCCTACGGTAAACCGTAGGCAGAGAGGGAGAAGAGGACAACAAACGAGGGGCTGTGACAAACTGTTTCGTCGGAGCTATATATATATATATCGTCACAAACAGAACTGCCCGGTAAACCGTAGGCAGAGAGAGAGAAGAGGACAACAAACGAGGTATATATATATGATATATGTATATATATATAGCCTACGGTTTACCAGGCAGTTCTATTTGACGATATATATATATATATATATATATATATATATATATATATATATATATATATATATCCTTTCCGAAATCGACCATTACCTATCTACGACCAGGGGCCATGCTAACTGTACCCTGACCACTTTTGCCTTTTCTTCTGAAGGGGTTAACCGTTAACCCCTACCCTTATTTTATTATTTTATTTTATAGTGCTTGTGCTTGTCTCCCTGTTGGCCTCTTCTGCCTTTTCTTCTGAAGGGGTTAACCATTAACCCCTACTGGTTAACCCCTAACCCGTAACCCGTAACCCCTAACCTTATTTTATAATTCGGATGGTGCTTGTGGAGTCGATGATCTACTTCTCAACAGTTACGTGCCTCTCCTCTTTTTTCTTTTTCTTTTTCTTTTTTTCTGCCTCTCCATGTTTCGACCAGGAACTCCGGACGGTTCTGGACATGGCCACGTGTCCTATTCTCCGACTCTAGTTCTGTGCTGCACCTCCGGGGCGATGTTCCGTGGTAGTCTACCCATTGTTCAGCTTTTAACCCAGGTTAAAAAGATCGACGGCCATAAACAAGCTTTTTTTTTTTCTTTTTTTCTTTTTTTAACAAGGTATTTTTCGGGTGAGGGGGACCTTGCCCCCGCTCTCTGTTGAATTGAATTGGAAGCACCTCGAGAGAAGACCGGCCGGCCTACGTAGCTCAGTTGGTACCCCCATGCACTGTTGGGATAAAGACCAACTGGCCTACGTAGCTCAGTTGGTACCCCATGCACTGTTGGGATAAAGACCTGAGTTCCAATTCGAAATCGAGGAAAGCCAAAAGAGAAGCCCAAGAGAGCGAAGCCATTAGGTAGGTCCATGTTTATTCCCCCGTTACCCTAAAAGCAATCCCAATAAATAAACCACCCCTGCCTCCGAATCTCCTTATCTTTTTTTTTTTTCAGTTTCTTTGGAACGTGCTTTCCCGAGCTTCAACGATTTTTGTTCTGCGGAGGGGACGACGTCACGCTACCGTCTTCACCCGCATAGAGCGCACGCCTGATAATGGTCATTAGCACTGCATGCGGACTGAAAGGTGTTCCAAATACAGCTACAGCTATAATGTAATGACTGGGCATTCTTTTCGGCTGAAGACAGTAGCACAGACCAGGTAGTCTGCTGTCTGCTGCAGGCCCTGCGATGCTTTCTCTGGGGCGTGGTCCCACTAGCAAAGAAGATCGGATCGAATGCCTGCATCTGGACGTGTTTGTAGAGAGGTGCAGGAAATCGAGATTGAACTGCTTTTCTGCATCTCTGGGTAAAACACATCCAGATTCATGCATTCGATCCGATCCTCTTTGCTAGTGGGACCTCGGCCCTGGTGAACACGAGCTGGGCTGGTAGCCGCGGTCCAGTGGCCTCCTTGCAAAAGAAACGGTCAGCCAATCTTGGTTCCCTATAGCGACTCGTGGATCCCAGTCGCGGCTGCCGAATCGACAGGTTCACGCTTCTGATTTTTTTTATTTTATTTTTTCAAACTTCTGATTGGTGGGGAGCAACACCTGCTGGAAACCGGGTCCAGCGTCCCACTGACAAGATTGAAGACGATATACCTGGCTCGACAATTTGGTCTCGCGACAGGCTTGCACTGCTTCGTGGTCACCAGCCATATTGGTTGGAGGCATGGAGCTACGAGCCTGCTGCAGTGCGCTGTTTCTGATGCTGATTGACAACCTTCAGTGCATTGAGGGTGGGCTCAAGTTGTAGTGGGTCAGATCGCTATGCTTGGGAGGTATCATCGTGGAACTGGAGCAGTTGCGCTCAGGGCCTCGGGGCCACGCACCGTCGGTAGGTCCTGTCTCTCGACACCTATCGGCCGTCAAGCGGTTCTCAGGCTACCGCAGCATGAGTTACCACGGTGAAAGGCGAACCATGGTTTTGGCCACGGCGGCGAGACCCTGTCAAGCCTGCCTCCTTTCACCATGACAGAGAATGCTCCAGACCTCGCCAGGACACTGATGGTGTTTCCAACAAGGACGGACGAGGAGTCGGCTCAGCCCAAGGAAGGAACACCCTGTTGAACCAGCATCACGACAGTCACCGACTCCAGGTATACACAAAGGCGCTGTCGGTAAAAATCCTTCTCAAGCTTTGTACTGTTTGTGGTCAAGAAAAGTTGTTGTCATCTACCCCCTGTACCCTCCAGTAGTAGAATGGATGATAGAATAGGAGGAGAGACGAGGACTCTCACTTCCGTACTGTGAAACTGGACAAGTCGAAAGCGGTAACTTTTTTTCGTAGAATGAATGGGCAGAGAATGTCGAATGGAAGGTACCAAGCGCAGGGCTTAGGCTATCAGTAACTTGTGGGGATTTGAGACACGGCATGGGTACCAGCTCTTGCACCTAGGCACTAAGGACGCAATTCTCTTAGTCGATTACTAGAGAGCATCGAGACGTGGGCATGAAGGTACGGATTTAATTAGAGAGTAGGTGGAGGACTCCCATCCGCCTCCCTCCCTGATGTGCTGTCCGTTCGCGCACTCGACGTGTATGTAATCCCGGCCTCTGAACATCATAAAGGTAGGTATTTACCGTCATAGCGTAGATAACGCCACCTCAGCGGTTGCACTGGTAGGTTTCGTGTCTGCTCCAAAGCCAGGACTCTTCTCGCCTTTCACTGTCACAGTGGCGGTAGGGAGTCCCCTGCAATCGGAAATTTAAAGTGCTTAAACCACCAGTACTTGGCCCAGCTATCGATGCCGAGCCTGGAATGCCCCTGCGCTGTGACGAACCACTTTCTGTGCCGCTCAACTTTCTGCGTGATGACAATGAGGGGTCCTGAGATGGGAAGGTTGGGCAAATTACGGGAGGTGGGATCGACGGGTAAATTGTGTCGGTGTTCTCGCTTCTTTCTGTTCCTTCGCTTCGCTCTTTCCTTTTCGGCGGTGATGGGACAGGCCCATGACAGACGGTTGAGTGTGCGCGCCCCGTTGGACACGATCAATAACGGTTGGAAATGGTTCTTTCTTGCTCCACTGGGAGAAAAAGGGGGGGAACTGAGATTTTTGGCGCGATGATCGCGCGGGAGCTTTCCGGTGTCGAGCGCATCGGCCCCCGCGCGAGCGAGGGCCCTCCCGGTCACGTCA